AAAAGGTGGCAAATCAATTTTTTTTTTTTTCATTTTTCAAACTATGGACATTTCAGAAGTTTTCTTGTTGGAGAATGAACAAATAGAAGAGGATGGGACAGAAGCTTCAAAAGGAATTGATGCCTTCTTTCTTATTTGAACAATTGTTATTTTGATCGAAGGGATTTCTGGGAGAATTTCTTTAATCTGGACCTTTTTTGTCTGATAAATATTTGTGGATCTAAATGATACTAATTAAGCATATTAAAATGCTGTAGAATAATAAAGAATTCTTTACATCAAGCCCTTTCATCATTAGACTGCAGCTTAAAATTTTGAGTAATTGGACTTCTGTTATCATGTGCTTTATTAAGTGCATGCTTTTCCCAAAAATTTCTTGTATCTGAAAATCCTGTCTGTGACATTTACCATTACTTTATATATACCTTAGTCATTGAAGTATGGTCGCAATTGCATTTAGCTTTGATATTTTTAGATTTGACCTGCAGTCCGTTATTTCATTTTGTAAAATGTGCTGCAAGGGTCTCATCATTGGTTAATTGCTCATGGCCTACTTTAGGCTCTTCTTGGGCTGCTGTGTTGGAGAAAAGAAGTGGGCTTAGTTTTCCTACAGATTTATATCTTGAAGGTACAGATCAGCATCGTGGTTGGTTCCAAAGTTCTTTATTAGCAAGTATCACTACAAAAGGTAATGATCATCTGAATGTGCTCTTTATTGCCCTACATGGAATTATTTGTAGTTCAACATTATATCATTATGTTGTTTCTAGCATTCTTAACGAATTGAGTGTTGGTTGATAAATTTACTGGTGCAAAATTTTGTGTATTCCTAACGGGTGATCTCTGTAAATCAAAGTTCCCATCTTTACCTAAATTATATGTAACTCATCTTGAAGGGGAAATAATTTCCGAAATATGTCGATTTCTAAAGGGACCGTGCCTAAGGCATCTCTTGATACAGCTTGATGATCATGCTCAGGGCACTGATTGGTTGGGCCAAACAAACCTCTGACTGGGCTACCTATAATCCCTCCAAGTATCTCCAAGTGTTAGGCACACTCACTCTCCTGTCAAATGTGCCCCTCTCAATGGCTTGTCTAGTGCTTGATCTTTCCTCACGCAGTTGACGACTCCTCAACTGAGCACACATCCTCTATACTTCACAAAAGGGCATCCTAATATTTCTACTTTCTACACCAGCCTAGGTCAAGAGCAAGGCCCAAGAACCCCTTCCTATTGGTGCCTCAGTCTTGGGGAAACTCGAACCACCTATGACCCCCACCTTGGGATCATCAAGTACATGTGGCTTGGAGCCTAGAGTTGAGGCTTCGCTTCGTCAAGATGCCTTTTCCCCTCCTCTCTCAAGGAGACCTACACCTTTGCCAATATTATAGAAAGGCTTTCACAAGAAGACATACCAATTTTTGAGCAAGACACGTGATGTTCCCTATGCTCCTCCGTACTTTGAGCACAGCCACCTACCCGTTGCTACTGTTGAACACTGAGAATTACAGCTCTGTTGATAGTTGCAACATCCACTTTGTCAGGCCAAGGTGCACAAGACACTTCTCCTTGAGCTTGCGATGTTGTGTCCAGGTGAGCTGGCCTCCAAGCCCATCCCTTCTATGATAAGGGGTATCCACCTCCATGCAAGCAATCCAATAGTAACCTTTCCCATTTGACATGCTTAGAAGACTTTACTGCCACTCTTTCTCTCTCCATCTAAGATCCCCTCTGCACTTGTGTCCTCCATGTTCAGTCATCTTGTGATGTTTTAGAAGGCTCCGCATTGGTTGTACCAGCAGATATGATGTTTTTTTATTCTTTGCATAACCCATGTTGGTGGGGACCAAACTGTAATGCTTCTTTATTTTTATTAAAAAAAATGAAAAAGCTAATGTTATGTGGGTCACTGTGCCAAATGAATCAAGTACTCATGAGTAAGTGGCTTTGGAGAAAGCTTTTGAAATAAGGAAAAATAAATAAAAGGTAGCTTGAAGAAGGAAGAGTGCAGCATGAATTATTTAGAGGCCTTGGCTCTTTGAGAAGAAATGCTTCTTTGGCGGGGAGAAGGAGGAATCGACATTGACGGTTAACTAGGTTTGGAAGGGAAGAGAAAAATAATGGGAGTCTAGATTTGTTCAGTTGATTTGGTGCTTGTGCCGGCCTCCTTTCTCCAAAAGTTTTACTCATCAATTTTTAGAAATAAAAATAACAATTTCTATAGCTTGCAATGGTTCCAAAGGTTGTTTTTCTGTACAAATATTTTATTAATTACTTATAGGTCTTTGCAATATTAAGGTTCTAAGATGCCACATGGGTTTTTGACATTCTATTACCATTTTGCAGGGAAGGCACCATATTTCTGTGTGATAATGCATGGATTTGGGCTGGATGAGAGAGGTTGAAGATGAGAAAATCTTTGGGCAATGTTGTAGATCCAATTACAGTGATTGGAGGAGGCAAAAACCCAGGGGTTAGTCACTGGTTAAAATATTTCAAACACATCTTTTCATTTGTTGAATGATCAATGGAGTTTCTATTTTGCCTTTGTAGGAAGCACCTTCCTATGGAGCTGATGTCCTGAGTCTCTGGGTTTCAAGTGTAGATTATACTTGCGACGTACTGATTGGGCCTCAAGTCCTCCGCCAAATGTCTGACATATATAGGAAGATGTGACGAACATCATGATTTCTTTTGGCAAATCTTCATGATTGGGAGGTATGCTCATGTTTTTTGAGAACCATAGCCATTGGGTTCAGGCTATCTCTTGGATGAAAAGAGTCTCATTTTTGTCCTATTTAAATTTTTTTTTCTTTCCCTGAAGCCACTTACTGTTTATTGCTGGTCAGTGGTCACCTTCAAATAACCATATCTCCATTGATAGATATATATTTGTTGATCTCTCTCTCTCACACACACACATACACACACATGCTCATATTGCATTATAGTTCCCCATTTTCTGGCTCTTCATTTAAATTTTTTATTGCTTCTTGGTTGTCAGAACTGATATAAATGAGAATATTGTTTTGATCTCTTCCTGTGGCTTTTTTCTCATTTTATATTCTTTTATTTGCAGGGTGATAATGTTGTTCCATATAGTGATCTTCCCATGATTGATCAGCATGCGCTGTTTCAGCTTGAAAATGTTGTACAGAACATCAAAGACAGCTTCAAAAATTATCAATTCTTCAAAATTTTCCAGGTAAGTATTTCTTGATATGGTTGACAGTGAGTTATATATCATATCAAAGGAGGAGAGAGTGAAAGAGGATCTTTGAAGGGAACCATGAAAACAAGATCTGGGCATGAACAGGACAGAAAAAGTACAAGCTCACTTATTGCAACTAAAAACTATTTATGTTAGTGTCAAACTTCTGCTTAAACTTTGCCCTACTACTCTAAATCAATATGCACTTTCGGAATTGACCTATCCATGGATCCATGGAAAGCTAAAAGAAGTCCTGGATCGCCAATCTTTTTCTTTAATGTGGTATCTATGCCTGTTCTTTGATGCTTATAACCTGTGTGATACATTCACTCAACAGTGAATTTTATGTGGAATCTATGTCTCAAAGAACAAACTCACTTTATTTTCCCTTATAACATGGCTCCTATGCTGGAAGGTCATCTTTGAATGTTTCATTTGACGGCTTGGCATTAGAAGGCATGGTTTACCTCCAAGAGTTCATGACCTCAAATTGACTTGTGGTGCCCCTAGATCCCAATTCTATTATGCAAACTAGGTTGTATGGTTGTGAACTTGTGATCCCCAACCCTTCTTCACCCCTAAACCACACATTTTTTGACATGTTATATCAATTTGGATCAACTAGTACCAGAAGAACAATCAGAATCTGATATAGGATCTTGTAATTCTTCTATTTTCAGAAAACCAAACCAAACCAAGTCAAGTCATAAGTCCCATCAAATGGGGTCGACTACATGAATCTTTCTTCTCCATTCGACTCTATCCAAGGCCATATCATTAGTCAAATTAAGGAGATTCATATCTCTATTTACTACACTAGTTTACGTTAGTCTAGGTCTGCCCCTTCCCCTAACACTTCCATCTACCGTCATTATATCGCATGTCTTCACTACTGTCCCTGTTAATCTCTGTTGTATATGACCAAACCATTTCAATCTATTCTCCCTCAACTAATCTTCTATCGGTACTACTTCTACCCATTCTTGAATATACTCATTCATAACTCTGTCTTTTCTAGTATTGCCACACATCCACTTAAGCATCCTCATCTTAGCAACACTCATCTTATCTACATGTTATTTCTTAGTTGCCCAACATTCCGTCTTCTAGTCTTGCCACACATCTATCTAAGCATCCTCATCTCAGCAACACTCATCTGTATGTTGTTTCTTAGTTGCCCAACATTCCGTCTTCTAGTCTTGCCACACATGTCTATCTAAGCATCCTCATCTCAGCAACACTCATCTGCATGTCGTTTCTTAGTTGCCCAACATTCCATCACATACAGCATCACTGGTTTAATAGCCATTTTATAGAAATTCTCTTTTAATCTAGTGGATACTTGTTTATCGTATAGTACCCCCGATGCACTCCTCTACTTAAGCCACTCCATCTTAATTCTATGAGTCACATCCGCTCCAATCTTCCTAGCCATTCTGATAATCGATCCTAAATAACGAAAATATTCACTCTTAGGTAGTATTTGGTCCTCAATCTTTATTTCTCCTCTGCTTCCATTCTTCTATTTTCTGAACTTCCCTATAATTTTGAACTTCTAGGGCTGTTAATAGATTTCTCTGTCCTTTTTGCATGGCTATTTCTAAATTCATTCTCTTATTTCATTTCTATTAAGACTTAATTCAATTGGAGATTTGAAAAAATTTTAGTTTGCTCTTTTGTATGGCATATTTTTCATTTATTTTTCCCATTTTCAGATCATTCAACGGTTTGCAATTGTTGATTTATCAGATTTCTATTTTGATGCTGCCAAAGATCGACTTTATGTTGGGTATGTTACTTTGCATCATAAAGAACTATATCTTTAGGTACTTTTTTTCTTACTTTACATCATAAAGAACTAAACAATTCCTTGCGTGTGATTCCTTTACCACCTAACTATCATTCTACATTTTTTGGCACTAGGGATGTTGCAATATTGATGGTTAATGAATTTAGATTCTGTTTGCCATGTAGGTTTTCTGCATTCAATGTCTTATGATTTTCAATTGTCAACCTAGTATGGGACACCCTATTTCTCATTTTCCTTATTGGCCTCTGCACTTTTAGCTAAAATGTTGATTCTGCTGTACCACATAATTGATTTATATGTTATATATTCACATCTTGTAAAGAAAAGTGATGGCTTATGTGTACATTGAATTCCTGACCCAATATTTCTAGCTCCCATAATGTTGTGAAGTGCATTTTTTTTCCCTCCTATTAATACCCAATACTTAACTAATTTCTATTCATTATTAAGGTGGTTAATTCCTTTGAAACTATTGGTTAATTCACTCTGACCCCTTGCATTTCAAAATTACACATGTATATGCCCATGTGGTCACCTTAAATGTAGCGACCCTCACCTTATTCTTGTCACACTTGCATACATTCATGCGTGATCTTGTCTTGTTATGTTGTTTCGAAGGTTTTGTCTTGCCTTATTTTGTTTAAGATGTTGCTTGCTTGATTTTGTTCCTTGCTTGGTGTGTAGCCGAGGTCATCTTGAGCTTAGTTCACCTCTGAACCTTTGTACTTAGAACTATTTTGGAACCTTGGTCGACCCTCATCTTCACCTCGGGCATGTTTGCCGAGATTTTTTTGCACTTGGTGAACCTTATCCGTGGGCAGGTATGGCCTAGACCGAGGTGTGGCACACCCCGGCCAAGGTGTGGCACAGCTTAGTCAAGCGTCATCCTCCCTAGCCGATGTCTTTGTTACCCTGTTGCCGAAGCTTTGACTTTAGCCGATGTCATTACTTGCCGATGTGTCTTGCCTTAGCTTGCTGCATACGCCTTGTCATAGACTTGTCTTATCAATCAATCACCTTTTGAGTTGAACCAACCCGATAGCGCCACGTGTCCGAGCTGATTGTTAAGACAGCCGGCAAACCTAGAAACAAATCATTTTGTCTCAAATCTTTGTCTTTAGAGAGAGAAGCTCTAGAGGAAGGAGGAAGTGAAGCTCTTGAGTGAGAATAGATCTTCCAAGCTTGATCTTCGAGGTTTGAGCCGTTAGATTCGAGCTTTGGGGTAAGAATCTTAATCTACTCTGGTTGTTGTTATTGATCATCTAGCTGCATTGCATGATCGGATCTGTTTTGCATGTCATGCATCGATTTGAAGTTGGTTTCGGAAGAGAAAGATGATTTTCATGTGTTCTTGAAGAAAAGTCTCGTTTTAATCCGAAAGTTTGGAACAAGAACCATGTTTTGTGTTTGTTCTTGCATGACCTTCTTATATGGGTACCCAGGTCCATGTTTTGAACTCATGGCATGAAATCGCAGATTTTTGTAACAAGTTATGATCTTGCATTCATCTTTCTCATGATCATGTTCATCATGTTCTTCATGTTCTTCAAAGGGAAACCCAGGTTTTCCCGACTTTGCTTTTGAATGAGGCCATCGAGACCACACCTCGGCAAGAAGGTGTGGGACCTCGGCAAAGACCTGGTTGGTACCCAGTGTGTTTTCATGAGACGGGAGCAGTGTTTAAACTCCCAGCATGTTTTGCTTTGTTATCGACTTGGACCGGGTGAGCATGCCGAGATCACTTGCATGCATATAAAGCTTGTTTTGAGAATATGATTTGCCATGTGATTGTAGGTCCTTGATCTTTGCTTTGAGCCTACACCCGAGGAGATCTATGTGAGTGGTATTTTTAATAAAGCTATGTTATACTGCTTTGATAAATCTTGCTTTGCTGTGTTTTGACGAAAGTATTTGTTAAGCATGAATGAATAGCTCTGTTTTGATGTATCAAGTATAAGCCTTATTTTGATGTCATTCTTAAAAAGTCCCTTTTACTGGAGGACTCTAAACTTTCGCAGTACCAAGTACAAAAGTCCCTCGTGCTGGAGGACTCTAAACTTTCGCAGCACTAAGTATAAAAGGATACGGTCCTCTCTTGGAAAGACTATCGTGTTAAAATGGGCTACGGGCCTAAGTAACACAAGACCACCGTGTTAAAAGGAGCTACGGGCTTAAGTAACACAAGTCCCTTGTGCTGGAGGACTATAAACTTTCGCAGTACCTTGACTAATCGATTACGGATCGTGCAGTCTTTGTCTTGCTACAGACAGTTTACCGCGTGGACTTGTTTGTTCGGAAAGCTTGATTTGTGTTATGCCGATGCCAGTAAGCATCCCTTGGGACTTGTGAGACTTGATAGATGAATACGGTTCATCCCTTGTTTTGATAAAGTTTTGATGTGTTTTGCCTTGTAAGGATCTCGGCTAATATTCGTATGGTTTTGGCATGTTTTGTTTTGAAAGGACTTTGGCTATATTCATGCAAAAACCTTTATTACTAGTACCATTCACTGAGAATCCAAGCTCACCCTCTCTATATATATGTAGGTGATGAGCAGGACGTCGGCGACGCCTAGAAAGTGTTTTGAAAGCTTGTTTTGGATCCATGTTTTTGTCGGCTCTGTTTTGTATTCACGTCGGCGATGTCATTTCTTTTATGTCGGCAATTCTTGAAAATTATGCTTCTTGGCTTGTATTCACTGTATTTGTATATGTCGGCTTGAGAAGCCTTTTGATCAAGATGTAATACGTATTTTACTTTGTTGTTTCCAAGTTTGTAAAGATGTATGCCATTACATTTGATCTATGCACAACTCTTATGAACCATTTGTATTTTGATTTATTGCTTCCGCATTTGTGAGCCCCCTATATCCATACTCTGATTGTGTTAAACTTTTGAAAGTTGGCCTTCGGTAATTACGGATTACCGGCCATCACAGCACCAAACTACTAGGGGCGGTTTGGGGTCGTGACATTAAAAGTATTTTATTTTTTATTTTTTGGGTACATTGGAATTGTCATCTTAAAGTGTATATGCCATTTAAAGTAATACCACATGAATATCATGTATGAAAAATGTAAAAAAATACACTAATGAGTTTATAATTTTTTTCAAGTGTCACATCATATCTGTCATGTTGTCACATTTGGAAAAGAGTGTACTAATAAGTTTTTAGTTTTTTTGGAGTGTCACATTATATTCGTTACGTTGTCACATTTGGGTCACGTTGTCATATTTAGAAAAAAGTGCACTAATAAATTTTTAATTTTTTTTTGGAGTGTCACATCGTACCCGCTACGCCGTCACATTTGAAAAAAATGCACTAAAGAGTTTTTAATTTCTTTGGAGTGTCATATTATACCCACCACGTTGTCACATTTGAGAAAAGTACACTAAGGAGTTTTTAATTTTTTTGGAGTGTCACATTATACCCATCACGTTGTTACCTTTAAGAAAAGTACACTGAGTTTTTAATTTTTTTGAGTAAAAGATTTAGAGTGTCACATCATACTCGTTACGTTACATTTGAGAAAAGTACATTAGGGAATTTTTAGTTTTTTTGGAGTGTCACATTATACCGGGCACGTTGGAGTGTCACATTAATACCTGCAACATTGGAGTGTCACATAAATACCTGCCACATTGGAGTGTCACATTATACCTACTTCATTAATAAAATGATATAGTCAGCCACCAAAATACTACAAAAATCGAAAATAGGACTTCACGGAAAGAAACTCTCCACTAATAGAACTTAACAGATCAATAGAAAAAACTTGAGACTTATTGGAGGACTTGTTTGTGAGATGGGACTTATTGGTAAATATTCCAAAAAATAATGGGTAAATTACAAATAAATTCTTTGAAGCTTGTTTAAATTACGATTTGCCCACGTGATTTTGGAGTTTCTAATTTCATAACAAATATCTTTTTATTAATAAATTATTTAGTCGATTAACAGTTTTTAGGCTTCGTTTGTCAACTATATATTTTAGCTACAAAATTAAAAAATTACTATAAGTTGTCACATCACTCTCTTTATTTTTTTGCACATCTTTTCGTAAAAAGTTAAAAAATTACTAAAATAGCTAGTTCCTAAACAAGGCCTTAAATACCATTCTTCAACTAATGTTTTAATAGTTGATATTTAGAGTCAATTTCTGATTCAGTCCTTTTTAACTTTTGATCAATTACAGTTCGGTATATATTTACTGTACGGGAAAGAAATAAACCTTCTCGTATAATCCTGTTGATCAAGTCTGCGCTCCTCCGTACGACGTCGCTTTACTCCCTGAAAACACAAACGTGAGCTAGCCGGCGGGTGT